TAAGCCTGGAGGACTTCAACTCCCAGAATTCCCCAGCCAGCTGGCTGGGGAATTCTGGGAGTTGAAGTCCTCCAGGCTTAAAGTTGACAAGGTTGGAGACCCCTGATCTAGAGGCAATTCTGGGAAGCTTATATTAAAAAACCAGTAAATATTAAAATGATAAAACAATAAATAACAATAATGATAATTTACAGTTGATAGGTGGGGGGAAGGCAGCATGAAGTACACAGGGAGAGGTAAAGTCTCCTTTTAATCCAAAAATCACTTCCAGAGCATGCACCCCCATTAGGCCCCAGGCCAAATGGCAGAATCAGGTCTTCAGGCCCTTAGAGAATATCAGAAAGGTGGATATGGATGTCACCTTGGAGGCTACAGTGCTTTAAAACAGGGGTTGCCAACCTTTTGGACCTCAGGGACCACCAAACTCATAATTTTAAATTCCGTGGACCAGAGACCCTGAGAAAATCCCCCCAAAAGTCTGCATTTCCCCACCCCATTTTCCTACCGATCAATTGTTCTTTATTTGGGATCGCAGGATACTGTCTCCAGCTCCGTTCTCAGGGGGAAAGAGAGAGAGAGAGACTTTGGGCTTCATGCAAGGAAAGCAGCAGAAGCAGGAGAAATCTTTCTTTCTCTCCCACAAACTCTGCCAGAAATGAGTCTTTGTGAGACTTGTTGCGCCAGCGCAGCCTCTTGGTGCAGGTTGCCTTGCAGGGTCCCAAAGACTCATTTCTGGCAGAGTTTGGGGGAGAGAAAGAAAGACTTGCTGATTTCCTTGTATGCAGCCAAAAGCAGAAAAAGAAAGAAGGGGAAAGAAGCAGCCCGGTGGCCAGGCGAGGCACATGGGGTGAGTGAGGCAACTTCCCTCCCTCTGCCCTTTCCCCCCTTCCCCTCACTACCACTTGTTGTTCACAATGCAAGTGACGTAAGCCTTGTGTTCCCGCGCAGCCTGGATTAATTGCTTTGGGGGTGACATTTCTCTGAGGACCACCAAAATTTTCTCATGGATCACCAGTGGTCCCTGGCCCACTGGTTGGCGACCACCGCTTTAAAAGACAAGAGCTATGACAGAAAAAGGTCTTCTCTTGGATCCTTCAGCTGAAAGTCCTTGATTGATGAAGTCTGCAGCATGTCCTTCCTACTCGTATGGGTGGGACAGTCAATCCCATTGGGGTGAAACGGTTTCCCAGATAGCTTGGACCTTTGTCACAAAAAGCTTTAAAGATGATAACCAATACCTTCAGTGGTGGGATTCCATTTTTTTTTTTTTACTAGCAGTTCTGTGGGCATGCCTTGATGGGCATGGCAGGAGAAAGATATTGTAAAATCTCCAGTCAGAGGTGGTATTTGCCAATTCTCCAAACTACTCAAAATTTCCACTACCAGTTCTCCAGAACATCCTCTGCTTGAACTGTACCCAGAAGCAAACTGGAGGCCAATGCAGCTCATCCAACAGCGGTGTAACATGGGCCAACTTAAGGGCCCCAACTGCCTATGCTGCCACATTGTATACTAGTTGCAGGTTCTGAATAGTCCTCAAGGGTAGCCCAAAGTAGAGTGCATTGCAATAATCCAATTGTGAGATGACCAGGGCTTGAGTGACTGAGCGTAGAGACTCTCAATGCAGGAAAGGGCACAACTGGTACACAACATGAAGTAGTACAAAGGCTCCCCTAGCCCAATTGCCACCTGCTCTTCAAGCAGGAGTTGTGAATCCAGAACCCCCAAGTTAAATATCTTGTGTGTGCACATGCTTTCAATTCTTGATTTTGGTGACTAGATGGGGATCTATATACAGTTTTGGAAAATAGTTTGCCATTACTTCCTTTCTAGAATTGAGAGAGAGTGACTGGCCTCAGGTTACCCAGATGCCTTTAAGCCTAAAGCAGGACTAGGACTCTCTGTATTCTGCTTTTTAGCCTTATGAGTTTAATCATTATATAAAAATGGCTTACTTTTAAACATCTGATTAGTTTAATCTATACATATATAAAAGCGAAATACCACTCGCACATCATCACAAAATATCCAGAATCATAAAGCCTACAAACTTGAAATTTGCATCTATGTTCCTCTTGACTTCTAGGTACTCACTAAGAAAGGATTTTTTGAAGTGACCATCTGAGCATTAGTATGTCGTATATTATTATTAACATGCTCTGATGCTAAGGAGTTCTACTCCCTCTCCCCACCTGAAACCAAATCTGTTCCAAATGCAAAACACAAGCAGAGGTGAAGAGTTTCAGTTTCAGAGCACCAAGCAGCTTTACTACAGAACAGTTGAGTTAAGCCATGCCCAGGTTCCGTGCTGTCTCCTTCTTGCTCACACAGCAAATACTGTTTCAGTTTCCAAACAGCCTCAACTCTCTCACATACTGACAGGATGTTAGCCAGATGAATACCGATGGATGCTGGTAGGCAGAGGCACAATTTCCCCCCCCCCAATTTTCCTCCCCCAAAACTAAGCCTGATCACATAATTTTGTATAAATCAAATTAATTTATTTGATTCTTTTTGTTAGTTTTTATTGTTTTTTATTATTATTTTAAATATGGTTTTACATTCTGTAAGACGTCTCGAGTTGCAATGGGTAAAAAAGGCGGCAATATAAATTCAATAAATAAAATAAATAAATAAATATAGATGTAGTTCCTAAATAAGGCTTGGATATAAGCAAGCTAAATTGTCTCTATACATTAGTAATAAATAATTTAATGTGTTTGGAGGTGCACACATAATACAAATACCCTGTTTCTCCAACAATACGGCCTCCCCCAATAGGAAGTCCCAGCATGTTTTATAGGCATGAAATGAAATTAAGCCCCTCCCCCCAAATTAAGGCCTATATTAAAATATGCAAAATGGGGGGGAATGGTGGGGGGGCTTGCTGTTAGGAAGTACTTTTGTTGCACACCCGGATACGGTGCTGCCTGCGTTGACCCCGATATGAAGTGCCCCACCAATGCCGAGGTCAACATCCAAGCCATCGCTGCCCGCCCGCCCAAAGACACAAGGGGGGGGAATTAAGTCACCCCCGAAAAGATGGCCTAGCCATTTTTTCAGGGCTCAAAAAAAAATAAGACCCGGCCTTATTATATGAGAAACATGGTATCTAGAAGAAAAAATATTTCCCATTATCAGTCTGAAATGATGCAGACCACTTTCAAGCTTTGCATATTGTATGAATCAGTTTTGTCAAACTGCAAATTATATTTAATTTTTTCAGTCTGCTATTATGAAAACATGTTTAATTCTTCCACATTATGTTATATATGCATTTAATTATGTAGTTTATGTCAGGCAGTTCAAAGGAAGGCCTTAAATAAAAAAAAAGACTTGAATGAAAACGGAATCAAACTTTCTTTCTTTTTTTTTTAAGAAAAACTTTATTAATTTTACCATTAAAAACAACACATCTACAAATTATATATAGAAGAGAAAGCAAACAGGCCTTGGCAGAGGCCAAGAGGGAAAGAGAGGAGGGCAAATGAGGGAGGAGAGGGAAGGGTAAGGGAAGGGGGGGATAGAATGGGGAAAACAGTTAAAATAAAACCATATTTTTGTGACTCAAACTTTCTGAGTAACTTCATAGTAATTCTTAATTAAAACTTACCTTTTTCTTAATCCATTTAAGTTCCTTGATAGCTGTTGAAATGCTGGACATATTTCTTTTTTGTTAGTATGGAAACAAGATGGCTATAGTATGAATATGGAAGTTATGTTTCTACTTCATGTTCCAGATTATTAGTTGCTAACTGGAAGCTTTTTTACTTTGCTATTTTCTAGCATGTTTAACTTTTGTATTTTTATTTTGTATTTATTTTGGGAATATGCATAATGATGTCAGACTGGTCTTGCATCATCTCAACATTCCATTCTGTGGTTCTTGGTTTAAAAAGTCCATGTGACAAATCTGTCAAACAACAAACAGCCCAAAGTTGGTACAGAGATACCACAGGAATTCACCTACAAATAGCAGCATTTGATCTCATCTTTATGAATTCCTCTTTTTTTAACAATAGCTAGAAGTAAATAACAAATAGTGTGTGTGTGTGTGTGTGTGTGTGTGTGTGTGTGTGTATGTGTATGGTATTCAGCTTTGTTTGGGTATTTTCTCATGTCATTGTAGTTGTGCTTTTAAAGTTGTGACAACGTTTCGGCAGAATCTCATCTGCTATCATCAGGAGGTTTTCGTGGGTATTTGTATGTGGATCTTTGGTTATTCGGGTTTTCTCCCGCATAAAATTGGAAGTATCCTGGCGACGTTTCGACGAAATCTCATTCGTCATCTTCAGGCTTGTGTCTTCGGCTTTGTGCTTCTCAAAGTAATGTGAGCTTGCAGCTGCTTCTTCCTTTTAACTGCTAGTGAGGGTGTGACTTGATTGGGTGGGGGCTTGGCTGTGTTCTGATTGGGTGGGGGTGTGTTCTCATTGGTTCGGGGTTTGGCTGTGTTCTGATTGGTTGGGGGGTTGGCTGTGTTCTGATTGGCTGGGGGTGTGTTCTGTTCAGGTGGGGGCTTGGTAGTGCTCAGGTTAGTCTTAGTTGCTGGGGGATTTGAGCTGGTGAGCTGTGATCCTGTTGTTTGGCTTCACGTTCGTGGTCGTGCCACATCTTCATGGTGGGTGTCAGTTCGCTTCATGTATGGGTCGGAGGGGTTTGAAGCGGGTAGTGATGCAGCTGCGGTATGGCTTCTGGTCATGTCTCATCTTCTATGTGGGTGTGAGACTGCTTTCTACGTGGAAGTGTGGTGGTAGCATCTTGTGTTGCCCTCGTGGGTGTGGGTCTGGTGTCATTCTTCATATTAGGTACTCATTTATTAATGAGGGTGGGTTTCCAAATGGCTGGTAGGTGGGAGGTATCATCTCGTTTATTCATGCTGTGTGGGCATGAATAGACACAAGCCTGAAGATGATGAATGAGATTTCATCGAAACGTCGCCAGGATACTTTCAATTTTATGCGGGAGAAAACCCGAATAACCAAAGATCCATATATATATATATATATATATATCTCCAGAGAACCTGTAGAAGAGGCAGAGCCTGAGGACAGAGTCAAGAGATGACTCAGTCTAGAATCATTATGTGTCCACAAATGTTCCAATTCCAGCCCCCTTTGAATTCCATTGACTCTTACCTAGCACCAATTTAGTGCTGACCATTAGTTGACTAGATTCTTATGTATAATCTTGAACAATAAATCTTCTTAACTGGAACTTAAATCATGGTGCTGATTCTTTGCGCCTGACAGAATAATGTTTTTAAAATTAATTTCTCCAAGCAGGGAGATGGATAAGGAAAGAGTTCATGACCCAGAAGCCTATACAGTTCTGTTAACTTATAAAATGATATTTCCACAAAACATTCAATTTTATGCCGATATGCAAAATGACAGAGTCACGTATATATTATGCCATTCTTTGCATTTCAAAGTCAGTAATTCATGTAATTAGTGGGGGAAGTTTAAGTTGTTACTATTTTATCAAGAAATAAGAATATATGCCTCAAAAGAAATTAAGTCATTTTCTTTTTTTGCTTGTTTTGCATTCTGAAAAACAATATCTATATAGATGGTCCTGTAAAATTAATTAATCCACCAATTAAATTTTAGAATTTAATAGCTTTCTTAGTTGTCTAATCTAGATTATGGGTAGAAATGCAATATATTTACAGGGGTATAGTTAAATTCAACATATTGCAACACTACTCATTTATAAAAGATACTTTTGTTTCTATTAAAAGAATACTGATAGCTAGTAAAAATGTAACAAGAAATATATGCTGTTGTTTTAGTTTGACATAAGCAATTCATTTCCTGGTGTGTCATTCAGTCTTAAACCTTTAATAGGAAACTTGCATAATGAATGGACACACCTATCAGGTTTGTTAAACGTTGTTTTCACGAAATGTTCTTCCTTACTGTTAGGACAACCTTATGTTTATGACTTGTATTTTAGTTTTTTATGATGAAGCAGTATTTTCATTCCATCATGATCTTTAGCAAATCTCAAAGTTTTAAGAGGAAAAAAATACCTCAGCACTTTCTCCATGTATCTCTGAAGAAGCAAAATATTCATTTGTTTATGTCTCTCTAATGGCCCCTCAAAATGTTATTTAATGTGAAGAAGTTGTCCCTCACGTTGGCTACCTGAAAGTCTATTTGTTGTATCTATTCATTCCACTAAAAATGTAATATAACAGAGTTCACTCACACTGATAGCCTTATTGTGGTTGGTTTTGCTCTTGCTTAGCATTTGTATGATAAGCTTCCACACTGTGGTTTGTAAAATATGGTTCCTTAACATGTTGAGCAAGATGCACAGGGTGGAATATACAGCAATTCTTTACATGGTCTTTACCCAGCCAGTACAGGTAGTCTTTGACTCACAACAGTTCATTTAGTGACTGTTTTTTCAGTGTTCACTGAAAAAAGTGACTTATGACCATTTTCCACACTTATGACCTTTGTAGCATCCCCATAATCGTATGACCAAAATTCAAGTGCTTGGTTCATATTTATGACGATTACTGTGTCCCAAGGTCATGTGATCAAATTTGCAACTTTTTTTTTTTGAAAACAATTTTATTGATTTTTTAAAAACAAACAAAACAAACAAAACATAGCAACATCAGCTCTCTTCCATACATATATACAAACAGTGTGTCGGTTGGTTCATCAGTTTTGTGCATTCATTTCGTAGTCTCAATTACAGTTACATTACATAATAACTCATATTATCAGTCCAAACTTATATATCCTAGTATCGCTATTAGAAAATCATTTGACTATAATTTTATGCATTCGTACTTTATGAGATAACTATAATTTAAATAGTTTATTCTATAACAAATCATATAATCACACCAAATCTATCCTAGAAACACTTTATAGATATGATGTCAAATAACAAAAGAAAAAGAAAAAGCAAAGATATTCCTTGTTATCTAACATTCTAAATATTCTATTATTATATTTTATCATCCAACCATTGATAGAAAAGGTCCCAAATTTTATAGAATTGTTTATCCTCTTGCTCTCTAATTTCAAATGTCAATCTACTCATCTCAGCACATTCCAATATTTTCTTAATAATTTCTTCCTGTAATGGTATTTTCTCATTTTTCCAATTTTTAGCAAATACAATCCTAGCCGCTGTTAATACATTTACAATCAAATATTGCAAATCTTTACTGTATGTATCTGGTAAGATTCCCAATTAAAAAAACTCCGGTTTCAAATCTGTGTGTTTCTTTGTCATTTTTTCCAACCACATGCGGATTTTAGTCCAATATTTTCTAGCATCCTCATAAGTCCACCACATATGGTAGTATGAGCCAGGTATCTGATGACATTTCCAGCATTTTTCAGATTTATTCTTGAACATTCTTGCTATCCTTGTCGGGGGAAAGTGCCACCTGTAAAATATCTTATACAAATTTTCTGTTGACACAGGGTGGAATATACAGCAATTCTTTACATGGTCTTTACCCAGCCAGTACAGGTAGTCTTTGACTCACAACAGTTCATTTAGTGACTGTTTTTTCAGTGTTCACTGAAAAAAGTGACTTATGACCATTTTCCACACTTATGACCTTTGTAGCATCCCCATAATCGTATGACCAAAATTCAAGTGCTTGGTTCATATTTATGACCATTACTGTGTCCCAAGGTCATGTGATCAAATTTGCAACTTTTTGATGAGCAAGGTCAATGGGGAAGCCAGATTCACTTAACCATTTTACTAACTTATCAACTGCAGTGATTCACTTAACAACTGTGGGAAGAATAGTAGTAAAGTGGAGCAAAAATCACTTAACAAATGTCTCACTTAACAACAGAAATTTTTGGGTCAATTGTGGTCATAAGTCAAAGACAACCTATAATGATTTAATTCTATTATTCAAGCCTGTTTTGATCAAGCAAACATATCTTAAAGAAATCATTTCACCTCACTGGAATAAACTCTAAAAGTAGCTTGAGATCCCAAGTGAGATATGCAGACCAATCTTATACATTTCTATTCATATTCGGTGGGCACAGGATTATATTATTGGCTAGTTTGAAACAATTGGAAATAAAGAAGTTAAGCTCTGCTCATAAAAAAGTAAAATGAAGTTTCTGCTATGATTTTGTTTCTTTCACATAGGAAATGTGTTCCGGTCATCTAAACCAGGGATGTCAAACTTGCGTTGTCACGTATCAAGACTTTTTTCCACCTTTGCTAAACTGGGTGTGACCAGTGCATGACACATCCAGCCCATGGGCCACTAGTTTGATTGCCCTGATCTAAACTTAATGCTTTTTTCTATATATAGCTGTTACATCAGGACACCTTTCCAAATATATCTAATTTATTAGCTGCCATTGTGGTTGATCTTAAAGATATAATTCTACTCTGGTAAATAATAGTTTGCACTGTTTAATACATCTCTTTCTGGATTTATATTGTATTTGAAAATATTAAGGATTTGTCTCATATTATCTTATAGCACAGAGAAGCACAGAATTCTGGGCATATGTAAACCACAAAGAGATAGGGGCTTAAACTGTAGACAGAGAAGTTAGATATGTTCATATCCTAATTTAGTATCACAGTGACAGGGAAAAAAATTGGTCTTAAGATGGCGACTTGAGTTCAGGTGTGTGTTCAGGCACAAAGCAGTCT